GACCCCACATGCCCCAGAAGCCCCCTGGCACCCCAGGCCCAGCCTAGGCACCAGTAGCCCTTTCAGTCGGGCCTGGTGTGGGGCTCTAGGGCTGACCCACAGCGCCTGACCCTATGTGGATGTGTTGCGCAGGCCTCAGGCCTCAGACACAGGCCCCAGGGTGCTATCCCCACCCAAGGGTGACTTCTGGCTCCACTGATGGCTTCCCTCGGGGGCTGGGACATGGCTGCCACAGAGTGCCCACACGGGCAGTGAGGAGCCATGGGCTGTCCCTTCCGCACCGAGGCAAGGGCCGTGGGACGAGCAGGGAAGTGGGTGCACTCATTCTCCAAGTCTGGTCTGCAGGCCCCTGGAATGAGGCTAACTGCTGAAGCTAGCAGTGTCCAGTGCATGCCAATCCTAAATGTCAGGCGCAGGGCTAAACTTGCCCCCACGGTCCCATGGATCTGTTCCTGCTCATACCATGAGTGAGGGGCAGCAAAGACCCCAACAAGCATAGCTTTCCCCTTCCTCACACTACTGCCCATTAAGGATGGCTGCAATGACCCACTGCCCGAGGAGGGAAAACTCTTGCCTGATTCTTGGAGTCAAACCAAACCCAGATGATCCTCAGCAGTGACTGGAAATGCTGCTCCCCAATGAGTGGCTCTTAGGGCCTCCTGCACAGCATTGCTCAGCTGTGTGAATTCAGGGCACATTCAGGCAAATATTCCCCTGGCAAGAAGGTCGCCTGGAAGAATTGACCCTTTTCTTTGGCAATGAACACCTGTCCCTTTGGGCTAGCTATTGTGCACAACAGAATAATGAAGTATCTTCCTTCTCCCTTTCTTTTCCCTTGCTACAAAGTGTCACAAAAGCCACACAAAGCTTGTTTGGTAATTGCTGATGGACTTTCTTCCTCTTACCCTTTTCCCATCCTTAAACCAAGTACTCCATTTGCAGCTTTAGATGACCTGAAAGCACAGGGACAAGGTACTACATCTTATTGCAGAGATTGTTTATGGCACTTGTAACTCTGGAGAAAATGTAAATACAACACTGTCAGGCTTGTTTTCCAGCTTGACTGTCATGTCATTCCAGATACAATTCATTTGGGGAGGAGGTGGTATTTTCACACCTCTACAATGCTTTTAAAAGTAACTGATTTTATTTTAACATATCTGAGCTCTTCAGCTGTTTAAAATGCATAATAAATGATACCATAATAAATAAAATTATACCTGCTGACACAGGCTATTGTCATGATCTTCTTTTCAGTGTTATACGGACTCTAGATAAAAAGGTAGGTAAATGTAGCAAGTGACAGGTCTGAGAAGGGGTGCTTGGGCTGTACATGACAGAGCCAGTGAATTGTACAGAGCTGCCATCTGATTATTTTTTACACTAACAACACTGCAGGTATGTTTTCAGCCTTTTAACCTTCCTTCCCCCCCCCCCCCCCCCAATTTTCTTCTGGAGACTGGTTTCACAGACTTAGGTTCTTTACACTGTCTCTGTGAGGTGGATTAGCCTGTGCCTAAATGTAAAATCTTGAGCATGTTCCTACTAAAGTTGATCCCATCATTTTAGACAGTTTCTCAGGATCATTCTCAATCCCTGTCCCATCCTCCCAAGTGACTGCAGCCCATCGCAGCTTGATGCCACCAGCAAATTAAAAAGCATGTTCTTCTCCTTTATCGGTCAGACTGTTAGTGGAATTGTATATAGTACTGGGCCCAGGACAGACAGCCTCACATTGTTTACATCTGCTCTGACAGCACTAACCATTCTCCAAGGATGGATTTCCTTAGGGTTTTGCATCTTCTGCCAGCAGTTTCCTCATAGCTTTGTTTCCTGGCTGGCTCATGAGAGCATCCAATAAAGCAGTTACAGGTCGCCATCACCACCACTAATTGCTAGCACAAAAAAAGTCAAAGAACCAACATGTATCGACCTCTTCAGTCAGAACCATAGACTTCTGAGAACTTCAATCAGAGTGGCTCTTTCTTGTTATTATTTATACCGTGGTAGTGCCTGGAGGTCCACCAGAGCCAAAAGAATATTACACCAGGCATGCACAAAAAGCCAGCAGTAGCAGTATCCATCCTGAAAACTACCCAAGGAGCAGTTACTCACTGCAGAAGGTCTGGTGGAAGTGTGAACTCTTTGAGGGAGCTTAAGAGTAGGTACAATATTCAGAGATCTCACGGAATGGTCCTCTCTTCTACATGATCCTCTGTGTGCTGTTTTTGGCACTCATTTTGAGTTTAGGGACAGTGCCAGTTCTACAGCCCCTAGTGAGAAGAATGGTTATGGCAGATGCCCATCTGGTGATGGATCACTTAGGACTTTGTAGGTGTGGGTCCAGAACTAGACAAAAACCTTGCTTCATGTACAAGCCAAACTGCTGTGGGACAAACTACCTCTGACTTCCAGCCAATTTTCTGGGTCGATCCAGAGGGGAACAAAGAGGATTAAAGCCAATCTGACAAAGGCATGGCTTTTGGGGATGAATCTTGAAATGAAAACTGACCTGAAACAAATCATCTGAGAAACCTGTCATTCAACCTAGAGTCATTCTTCCAACTACAGCAAGAAATGCTTTATTACCAAAATAAATGTTTTGTGTACTGGGTGTAGAGGGTGCTGACTGTGAGGGTCCTAAAAGCAGAGCAGTTTCTGCAGCCTCTGCCCCTACCAGGGTTTGGATGCTTAGGCTCCCAGCCAGCTCTACGATGGCGCAGCTGTAACGAGAGAGCAGGCTGCTGGGACGCAGCCAAGGCGTGAGATGGAGCCAGATGAGCTGCTCAGTCCTTGTCCTTGGTCTTTTCCTCAGCTACATTGCAGGAATGGCCATGCCTGGCCATATATCTCACTGACCTTTCTCTCTCCTACAAAAG